TACTACTACTCCTGCTGCTACTGCTAATACTTCTTCTTCTTCTCCTTTTTCTAGTTCCTCTCCTGCTACTCTTTCTGCTTCTCGTACTGCTTCTACGACGAGGACCACCACCAACACTGTCAACTATTGGGTCTTCTGCCGCTGCCAGCACGATCACACGGCAAACACCACCTCTGCTACAATATGTCTCATGTGCATTGTTTAGCTAGAGTTTAGCTGCTTGACTTTCCAAGCACGTCGTCACGTGTGAATCCGTAATGGGTGAGACCCTTCCCTGGAAATGTTCGAAGCAGCCCTGACAAGGCTCGACACCTAATCCCGGGCTAGTTTCGACAAGTTGTTCGTTTCCGTTCCGATAGATCTAGAGGTAGATCTAGAGCTTCTAGACAATTCTCGAGATCTACACCGACGCGTCTGCAGAACATGAAGGGGTCAAGCGACCTCCGAAGCCGGTGGGCCAAGAGCTCTGAACCGTCTGCACCTCAAACGGGCTTCAAAGCGGACATCCTCGATTCCAAGGCTGTCTGCAGCCATGTTGCTTGTCCAGCCTGGTCCTCCACGGTCTTTCGGCTGCGACCACCTGCAGCACCGCGCAGAATCGCCTTGTGTGAAAGTTGCTCCGCTACACATCCTCCAGTTTTCTGAAGGTTGGAGATGTCCCAGAGCCTCAACAATCAGCAGGACCGATTGACAGACAGTTGCTAGCATGGCCCTTGCGGCGCTTTAGGCTCTCACCCGAGTTTGTCACCTGCCAGATGGTGGACAGATGGGAATTGTTGTGGCTTCCGGTTTCCAGCCTTGATCGCTGGCAACTCCAGCCGCAGCACGAATCTTCACCTGCGGACTACAACTTTAACATGTGCACGCACGAACACTTACATTACTCTTGGCAAACGACAACTCAAGAAGGGCGCTACTCTGCCCGCTGTGCTAGCTGCAAGAGATTGCTGTAGCCACGCCCCACTGGTGTCGGACTCGTTAGCATGCGAAAGGATCATTTCGCCTAAGCCCTGTCGTAGCGGCATGGTGCAATCACGTCAACGGTGATAAGGATCGAAGGGGGGCATGGAGAGCGCGACCCCGCATCATGGCTGCAAATCCTCAAGCTTCAATGGAAGGCATGTCAGAAGGAAACGGCAGCATGGCTGTCGTCTCACAGCCCAACTTGTTCTTCACGCTAGTTGCTGTGCTCGGATTACACTGGCGAGCCTTCTTCCACGCTTCGCCCCGAAGCTCACCTCGAGCGAAGCCATGACAGACAAGACGTTTGGAGACCTCATGATACCAGTAGCTTCTGCCGAGGATCTGCTAAGCACCGTATCCAGGCATTGGCGTTGAAACTGCACCAGGTCGTTGTCAGAACGGTAGGCACCCCACACCCGTACCTGTGGACAGCACCGCTTTGAAACAGAACTGGTGACTAATGACCTCAATGCCTAGAATGCTCCTAGTAAAACTCACTAACTCGCCATCTGTACAGAACGAAGCTACTAGGTCCAGAGGCCATGCAAAAAGACAACTGCTCAGAAACAGCACAAGGCCCGGAAAAGACAGGGCATCTGAAGCAGTCTCGCATTACAGTCGCATGGCCGTCCGCAACTGGCACGACTGTCTCTCATGGGATCCGCCTACAACACTGTCATGGCGATATAGCGTAACCGTTCATGCTGGGGAAGCCAGCAAGAAAGGGTTTTTGCGGAGCGAGATGCTGAGACACAATTGCTGAGGTATGGCCGAGTAAGGCTGGTGACAGCGAACCTGCAGACACCTGTTAGAGTTTGAATCCATGCCCAACCTCAGTGACATCCAGGGCAGCAGGGCCGAATGAAATGCTGGCCTCGCCCAAGCAGTGCTAGCTGCTAGCATAAAGAGTGCATCTAAGTTCAGAAGCTCCACCCCTCCTCCAGCGGTGCGGGAGGCAAGGCTTTGGTAGAACTGATGACTGTGTGGCCATCCAGACACACCTTGCCAACTTGAGCGCATTGTGTGACGACAGCGCCCTTCATCGCTAGGCACAAGCCTCCAACAAGCTCAAGTCACACCTCAATGCAATGTGAATCCATTCGCCGAGAGGTAGGGGTTCACCTTCGTGCTTCACAAGCTGGAGAGTCCACACCGTGCATGGTGCGAGTCTGACATGTCCTTGGCACCGCACAATCTCCTTCCAAGATTGGAGAAGACTGCCCAGAAGCCGACAGAAGGAAACCAGGACGACTGCAGGAGTTGAGGTCAAGACAAAAAAGTATGCAAAAAAAGCCTGTAGCAGCATTTTGCTCACGGCCTGGGCCTGTAATGTAGTGACCAGTACTGCTCAGCATGGCCACGTCGCACAACGCAAAGGTCCTGCTGTCAACGCTGACAAAGAAAAACTGAATGGAATTTCGGCACCGAGGTGCTGCCTCCGCTGAGCTTGCGGTCAGCCGCAGCCAAAGCTCGACCTGGGCAACGAAACCTCGCTTCTCAATGGCATCGAAGCGTGCTGAGAGACTGAGGCCCGCACAGTCCACCCTGGGATGGGAGCCTCATCGCTGCGGTCGTTGTTGCTGTGCACCTCCATACGCAAGACCACGACAGGCTATGACAGGGGAACTCAAGCCCAGGCATGCCAGTGACAGCCACCCCACCCATCTCAGAAAGTACGGCATTTGGTCGAGTTCGCCCCGCCCCCACGCTTGCGCCAACCTTGAAAGCCCACACCCGCTTACAACAGCTTGACACCGGAGTTTCTACCACTTCTTCAGACACGGCAAGTACGCGAGAGTGATCGGCTCCCATATCAGGCATGGATGCAGCCCTCTTCGTTGGACCACCAACTGCACTCATGGAGTGGACCCTCTGCCTGTGAAAACCAGACATGTCGATACCCAGCGCAGAAGCAGAGCTTCCCCCAGAAAAGTAGACCAGTCATCCTTACTTTTTAGGATGCTGTTTGTGCTAGGTCGTTACTATTCATTACTGCTTGCGCTCTCTCTGATCTCAGTCACTTCTTTAGCCAATGGCAAGCAACTGCATTTTTAAGGGTAGTTCGGGCTGGTCATCGCAAGCACACCAGAGCTTTGTGCGCAAAGTCAAATTGCGATGCAGACTACTTCCTTCGGAGCAGGATGTGCACACACACGCGCACACACCTCCGGACTAGCCGGTAACTTAGCAGCAAAACTGTTGATAGCAAGGTTGCAACTTGTCACTCAGCAGTGCGGACGCATACCACGGGGGGTGAGAGTGTTAGACCACAGTGATCGGCTCCAGGAAACTCGGGGTAAAGGGAGTTCTCCAGTCGGAATAATCGGACTTTTATGGTATGACCGGCGCATCGCCAAACATGCTGCGAAAAGATTCGTTTGGCAACATCAACCGTATCAGTTTTGCAAAGTTGGAGATGGAAGTGCCAAACTTCGCTGTTGAGGCCCCAATGCTGGCCAGCCATAGTCGCTGTTCGCTTCATGGATAGTTTACGTTGCAAGCAGGTGTTGCTGCGAGCCACAGGCTACTGCGAACTACTTAGAAAACAGCAACCAGCAGACGTCAAACACCAAAACATCGGGGGACAAGTTCCGCTTCTGCGAGGCCCCAGCATGCGGAACAAATAGCGAAGGGGCATATATTGACATGCCAACTCTAGCAGCGAAGCTATGAGAAACACCTGGCCCCGAAATGCTTCGGAAGCTTAGACGGCACCTGCTCTCGACCTCGCGCACCGCCAACAAGGGCGAGCCTCAGGCCCCAGCACAAGTCAAACGACTCCTCACATCTGCTTGTGCACATGTCTGTGGACGTCGGTACGATTACGTCGCTCAGGTCGAAACTGCTGACGATCGCTGATGCTGGAAGCAGTATAGCTTAGCCTAAGCTGTGGTACAGCATGCCGTCTTGCGAAGGCTTGAAACAGCCCGCAAAACTCGAGGCTTGAGCTCAGCTTTGCTCAGCTGGACGGCGAAATTGGGCAAGAGCACCTGCCCCCACCTCCAGCTGCAAGAAATGCAGGATGAGACAACGCAAAAGCACGTGACCAGGTCGACGGCTCGTCTGTTGGCTCCATAGGATCATCGGGGCTCAAGGGGCCCTGCCAGCTGCTTCCCCCTCGGCCGTACAAGGATGGATCTTCGCCACTCTCTGGACAAAGGTTTGGCAAAAAACAGTCACAGATTCCTTGCTTTTGACATCTTATCGTTATTCCCTATCGTTTTACAGCCCAGAGCTATGGTTATCTCTATTGCTACATCGAATGCTCGCCTCCGTCCGTGACAAAGCTTCTTCGGTTCTAATTGAGGACGGGGACAGCAGCGCACTCTTTGCATGCATCCATCCGATCCGGACGCTTCTATCGTTTAGCACTGGCTTTATGCAAAGATGATCAATAGCTCGCCGAGTACAGATGTTGATGCCAAACCCCATTGTTTTGTTATCGCTTGCTTATCGTTGAAAGTTTAAACCTCACCACTGCGAACCGATGCTTGGGATCCGCACATACTTTTTCTACACTTAGAACTGCCAGAGACGAGGAAGACTGCAGGCCGAAAGACTCAAGATGATTGAATACTAATGGTGGGTTTCTTGAAGACTTGGTGCTTTTGGAACGTGTGCTATTTTCACTTGGGGCTTTGGTGTTCTTTTACACTACATTGTCACTACATCCCTGCCATATTGAGACATGCTGACGCAGAAACCTTATCGTTAAAAAACTATTTCTTATCGTTTCACAGTGTATCGTTGTACAGTGAATCTGACAACTAGGGCCACCAGCTCTTAAATCTTCAAAACGTGGTTATTACCCAAACTCTGAGCTAGGACTGCTGCGCGCGAGGGTTCCTGGTCGGCCACACCCCCCGCTGTCCCGCAACGAGCTGCCCTCGCCATCAGCGCAGCGCCTTGAAGGCCAGCAGGGCAAGGAAGCAGCGTAAGAGTAGTAACACCGGGCGTGTCGCCAATACACCAGCAGTCCATTCGAAAGCATCACAGGGTCCCTGACCGAAATGCAAGCAAAACAAATCGAAACCATCAAATATCGTCTGCTTCGAGGTCATTTCGGAACTCCTGCCTGTCCCCACGCCCGGGACTTTCTTCGCTGCTGGGACTCTCCTCTGCCTCCTGTTGGATGGCCTGTTTGCTGCGTGATCGCGAATGCGACTCAGCACAAAGTTGTCTCCGCAACAGTGCACCTTGAAGGAGCGCACCTGCACCTGTGGCAGGCTATGGCCGACGCGTTTGTTTCACATCCCGGCACTCCTCGGCACCTGCTTTCCAGGACTAGGGTTTGCCCCACGGTCTGCTTTCAGTGGCTGATGCTCTGCATGCCTATTACCTCGAGTGAACGATCAGTCGCTGGTTGCTCGTGGCAGTCGCCCGCTTCGATGTTCGCAGGAAACCATTACCGGCGCTTGCGCTTTGGTCCCTGTGCCACTGTCCCTTCCGCAATCCCATCAGCCTGGTGAAGCCGAGTGCTCCTTCCGAACTTTTCGTTGCAGAGTCGCTGCGTGAGCAGAGGCTCTTTCCTGGTAGGAGCCCTGCTCAAGTTCTACAGTATGCCCTCCCCTCGCCTGCATGAGCCCGGAGACCGTGCAGAAACAAACACAGGCCCGCAATCCGCTCCTGCGTGGAGCCGAGCCCCAGCCATTGAAGGATCGTCGCCGTATGTAGCGGACAAGCCTCAAACGAGAAAGGAGAACGCGCTGAGAGTGCACTGCGACACTACGAAACCATGTGCTGCTCTGTGCCTGCGGGGGTTTTCGCAGAGCCGGCACATCACTGAAGGGCTGCTCCAGAATGGCCTGGAGCAAGGTTCCGCGAGCGAACCCTCGTGAAATAATCTTGTGGCAGCACATTTTCTCAGGGAGCCACCGATGCCGGTAGATCACGTGCAGGCCCTTGAGATTGTGGAGACCGATGGATTGCAGCCTGCTTTCTCCGGTGAACCATCATAAGGAACTGCAAGAATGCATCGCGTGCCTTTTCCACGAGCGCCTGGCAAAGCATGCTCTTGACGTCTTCTGCATTCAGATAAGCACGTGCAGAGTCAACGTTGCAGGCCTCGGCGAGTGGTGCACGCAATTGAAATGTGTCAGACCAGTGGAACGCCGCCACCAGTGCCTTCACGAAGCAGCAGATCCAAATGTTGACGGTGTTTGCATCATCTCATCCACAATGCTTACAGCATGCATGCCCTCGAAGGCCCAGGCAATACCTAGACTTGTGTCCCCGTGCACACTACGAGTTGTCTCGGCCATCCGGTCCTTCAGCTAGGGCGGCTTTAAACTGGTCTCTAAACTTGGCACAATCCCCTCCACCCGTCAATCCTTGCTTGCAGAGAGAGAACCATGATGCAGTTGAAAGCGAGGCACCTGCACTGCTGTTGGCCGCACCATCTCGGGACTTAGAATGGCCAAGGCCGAAAACAACCGCGCTGCCTGCCATGCACTCTGTTGAAACAACTGAGACGAGGAAAGGCAATGTACAAGCTACTATCATAATCCAAACCCTGTTAATTTCCGTCGGTCATGGGCTTACAACAACTGCCGCCAAGTTGAAGTCGTTTCAGTTCAAAGGGGCATGTGTTGCAGCCTGACCGCTCCTTGCGGAGTGTCTGTACCCAAAATTGGTCCAGCAGTTCTTGACCGCCTGCCTAGGTAGCCCTACTCGGCTGCGTGGAGAAGACTGTTCACGAAAGAGCCAGGCAATGGAGAAACTTGCCACTCTATTGCTGAAGGGCTGTACAACCCCACGATATCGTTTTCGCATCCGCTTGGATCTGCTGCAGTACCCCACTCAACAGTCCCACGAAAATATGTTGGACCCTAAGCTTTGTATCCTAGTGCATTCCTGCAATTTGACCCGTCGTGATGCTGCAAGCATCTGCAAGCCACTTGGCGGTAGTTGGAGCGAGGCGCGTATCTGCATGATCCTGGACTTCGGACTTACCGCTTCTACACAACTGGCTCTTGATCAGGGTCCAAGTCAACCACCATTAAAGGACTCCACTGACTCCACTCGGCAGGAGAGAAATGTGACCGACGACGTCGTTCCTGACAAACCTCCCTGGGTTAGAGAAACTCGTCGTGCTAACCAGATGGACGGAGATAAAGGTAGATCAGGCATGATCAGGCGAGCAAGCCCTCCGTTGCACCCCTTCTTTGAGAATTTAGGAACACGCGGGAGATATGCCTACCACAATCCTCCGTTTGGACTTAGGGAGCAAGCCACTGCCCTCCACACAACAGAGACACGCTCCTGTTTCGGGGTGTTGGGAGCTCGGGCTGTCCCTCTCAGGTGGAAAACGTGGCTGATCTTCCGCGCCTTGCCCTCTGCCCCTCCCTCCCATGCTGTTTCTTCCATTCTTCTTCCCACCCATTGCAGTTCCCCCAAAAGCAGTAAAACCCTTAAAGTGGGCGCCCGACCTCGCACAATCTGGCCCCCTGTGCTCACACGCCTTCTTGGTTCCATTAGTAGGGCGATGCCAGACGTCAACTGAAGTACCGACCACCTCGACCCACACAAATCATCTGAACCTGTGCAAGTGGTTGGACACAGTATGTGTCAGCTCTCCGAATGGGGTCACAGCAAGCATGGCACTCGCGAATGTAAGGAGATGTAAGGAGCCGAAGCATAAACTACGAACAAGAGCAAGTATCCCCAATATCCTAAAGTGCAGCATCTTAGGGTCTTAGCGTCCTTCACGATCGTCCCCTGTCACAGGCGACGAGAGTTGCACTGTTGGGTCGTTTGTTACCCACAGCTTTTCGGGGAACGAGAAGAACTTGTGCACGCGCAAGAAGTTTAAGGACGCCCAGAACGGAGCTGTGAGTGTGGACCTTTCAAGCTTCGCCTCCAGGACCCGGGATCTGCGATGACATCAGCGTCGACTTACTAGAAGTGCCGGTTCACGTGCGATATCCAGATACTAAGGCGATGACCCTCCTCCTTGCTGGCGCGCCGCCGAAGTGTCGTGGTCAGGGATCCGGCCCTGAACCACTTTAGGCAAACGTCTTGCCACCCCCCCCCCCCCCAGGGGTTTGGGTACACTGAAGGACCAGCAGCTCGCCCCCGGAACCACCGTAGGGGGGGGGTTACAACCCCAACCAGGAGTTGAGCTAACATGGGTACGGATCGCTCTTTCCTACTACTACTACTACTACTACTACTACTACTACTACTGCTTTTTCTCCGAGACATATGAGGCGTCCGAAGTCCGAGCCGAAGGCTCGTTGCAGGCCGTTTCAAGTAGCGTAAAAACACAACTCCTCAGAAGGCACGGTTCTTTCTCCCTCCCTGTCTCTTCTTCAGCACCTGTCTTTCCTCTCTTGACCTGAACACGCTCAGCAGCTGCACAGGCCACGCGCACCGCCAGGGTACTTCGCACCGCCGCGAGAACCAGAATGCCTAACGGCAAGATACTGTGCTTGACGAGCCCGCTGCCGGCAAGAGCCTGACGAGCAAGCCAAGCATGCGCAAGCATGCTCAAGCAAGACGGGAAAGCACAACTTTCGCAATGCAGGCAATTCAGGTCCCTGCCAAAGATTCTGCCTTGGCAGTTCCTCTCGCAACGTCTTGAGAGCAGTGGGAGTTGTAAATATCTGGCTACGCAAGCCTTGATCGCTTTACTGGTCCTTGTCGGGCGGAACAAGCCACCAGGCAGGAGCTTGCAGTGGCCACCATGGGGCTGCGAGAGGGAGTACTCCTTTGAATGGAGCAGGGTGCAAAGGTGGACCACACGGATCTTGGAGATTTCATTCTTCTCGGCTCTTTAAAGCCTCCGTATAGCTGCCGCAATACTAAGGTCCGGGCCACAAGCGGTGCAGGGTATCCTCAATTTGGGCTGCCACCCGAGCCTCAGTCTCAACATTTTCCGATCCCAAATCCAGGATCACCATTCCCGAAGAGCAGCTCGAGCCGCATCACCACTTCCACCTTTCGGGACACACTGAAAGCGGGCTGAAAGCAGAGCACACAGCTTTGCCATCCGGTGCCTCGACGGGAGCTGAGACCGCAAAGAATTGCTGCTAGAGCTCGAAATTCGTCATGTGCCTTGCAGTCATGAGCTCCCGACTACTGATATGAGGCCGGGTGTCGGGATCGATTGATGGAGGTTTCGGCCTTCAAGGCATCTGCGGGGTCTCTGGGCATGTGGAAGCACTTGGTTATTTAATGTCTTCAGGCATTCAAGCCTTCCAGACGGAACTTCTCTGGAAGGTATCGGAAAGACGGACAGGATGTGGGGCAGGGAGGGGCCCATATTGCCAAGTTGCACTGGCAGCCAATCGAAGAACTGCTCCCGCGGCATCTTTCAACTGTGGCGGCGCCTCGCGCTTCAAGGCGAAAGAAAGCTTAGGACCTAGGAAGACCGAAGGGCGGCATGCAGCGCTGCCTCGGTACACACAGCCGCTGGCCAAAGCTGCTTGCAGTCGTCTGGAAACTGCACCAAAGTCACATGTAGGACGCTGTAGGAACTTGGGAACAGGGCCAGTCACTTTGTCAGTGTAGCACAGCAGACAGGAAGGACAGCAACAGCAAGCTCATGCTCCGGCAGAAACCTCTTGCGACGTTGGATGCTGCAGAGGCTCTACACTACACCGCACAGAAGTTGTGTTAAATTGGTGAGAGACGCGTGTCAGATATATCGAGCAGCGATTACCCGCTTTTGTTCGCACAGATGTGCTGATCGGCAGCTGCCGACCGTTGCAAACATGTTCCATGACAGGCTAGTCTGCGGAGCTCTATACCGAGCAGCATGCAACTCACGAAAAAACTCAGACACTACAGTGCTAGTACCGCGACCTTCCCATTTGCCTTAAGAGACATACCTCCGGTTGCTCTAAAGCAACCACCAGCATGATCTCCAGCCCTTTCGTACTTCTGCGTTCCAAACTAGCGATGCTCAAGCACATCTAGGTTGGTTGACTGTTCGTACGTCCTGTCACCCGTTAAGATCGCTCCAGACTTCGTGCACCGACTCGAGCACTCTCAGTGCGCGCTGGAGTGCCACAGTCTGCTGGCATGTTGGTGCTGGTCCCGCAAGGACTGTAGAAGAATCCGATTAAGAAGGCATGGAAGCGCGCAGGGCCCTGATGATACGTCTCGCATCGAAGAAGCTACGCCGTCCGGCTGCGACTCGAGCTTTCTCGGTTTCAGCTTCAGCTACCTTTACAGAGCTTCCGTGCGAAATCCGGTCTCGTGCAAGGGATACGGTCCCCCTACTATGGTCCAAAGCGCTTGACAAACCATGCACCTCAAAACATCAATTTTCACGACGTCATCTTAGCCGTAAAGAGCTTCGCAGTACACTGCCAAGTCCTTGGTTTACGAATTGCACCTGGGCTACACCCATCTAAGTGGCATGTCTTGTGTAACTAGGAGTCTCGCTGCTGTGCGCATGTTTTGTTCGGCTTCCCTCTCGTGGAAGGGGGGATGTGGCCATTCCATTTGTTGCACAACAAAAAAAGCACACGGGCAGACAAACGCTTGCATAAGTAGAATGAGGCAGTGCATTCCATGGAGCAGCCAAGTTGAGCTCGTGACAGCTAGTGCTACACTCAGAAGCTTTGCATATATAGCCTCCGGCAGCTCAGCCGGGGCTAAGCGCCAGTCAACCTCCACACCAGCACTGCAGAGCTACATTTGCGCTCCCACAGTTGCCAAAATCGCCTCGTTCATCCACGTACCATCGTGCAGAAGAGTGCCAAGTACCTTCTTCAAAGCTTCAGTCGCCCCCGCACAAAGCAAACCCGGTGCCTTACCTCGCAAACGTTGACGGGACGTGTCCTTCCAGCTTACAAGGCGGTTCGACGCCTATGTCGATTCCGCGTCCCCGCCTGATGCGGGCACGGAGTCTCGCTGCAGATTGGGGTTTGCCCCCGAAGCCAGTTCCTGGTCGGGACAACATCTCCCGCTATGAACACCATTTACCGGCGACATGCTGACTTATAGTTACGGACCGTAAAAGCGGTTCCAATTGTGACGCAAAGCCTCCCGGACTGAGCCCAGCGAAGAGGCTGATGCCGGTCTGCAGCTCCACTGACAGCAGCCTTGTCGCGTGAAGCTGCACTCGAGGGACACGCGGGGCCAAGCCGGGCCTGTCCGGCAGTGAGGAAGCCAGCAGCTGAGGTCTCTCGTAGGAAGCCACGACCTGAGCCGCAAAAATTGCGGTTTTAAAAGACTTCAAATCGAGATGTAATCTCTCCCTGTCACTTCTTCAACTCAGCCAAAGGAAGAGCTGGCTCCCCTAAAGGCACGCAAGCGCGCCTCCCCCCCAAAAAGGTCTGTCCGCCCGGGGTCCGGCGCCAAAGTCGGCGTGAAACGTTGTCAGTCGATTTCCTTTTTTATTGGTACAGCTTCAAGCCGTCACTCTCTTGCTTGCTGCAAGTTAAAGGCAGGTGTGATCCCTGCTCCGTGGGGGACCTGTGCGGCCTGCGTCCAGCGCAAACGTCGGCGTGAAACTGCCCCCTCTCTCGTCTAAGTCATTTCCCGCCCCTCTTCGGGTGGCACTGAGAAAAACTGCGTGGTGCTGCATCCCGGAACATGCCGCCACTCTGCAACAACCTGTGGATCACTCGAACGAACCAATCAGCCGTCATGCCTGTGGACCGTGCGCCAGGACCGCCAGGACTACATCGACGCGCTTCTGCAGAACGATGGCTAGTAGCAGATGTTCACAGCGGTCTCTATCCTTGCATCTTCCTCTCGAAGGATGAATCCTCGGCCCCCACCCCCCGCACACGAGCGGCCACAGGGGACTTGGTGTTCTGAGGATGCCCGAGCCGGACCTGCTATCCGGTGAAGTGAAATCCCAAGCTTGGCCGCGTTCAGGGGAAGACTTGCTTCGTTGCGTGCTTCGAGGCACTGAAAATCCAACGCTGGGTGGTGCCATTCGTCTGTTGGGACCTGGAAGCCCAATTCGAGACGGATGACAAGTTCGGTTTTGCTGCCCCTCTTCTTCCTTTACACGGCTTAAGGGGCAGCTCGCCTAGTGGCAACCTCAGCTCACAAAACCTCTTTCACAACCTAACAAGCACTACATAACTTAAGCAGAAATCTGAGCATGCTAAGATTACCGCCCGCACTCGTGAAGCTGTTGTTGCACAGCAGGAGCAGACAATGGAAGGAGTCGATATCAGGATGGCACCTGACAGACTCGGCTGTTGACGAAAAGATTCTCTTAACGAGTGTGGAAAGGAAATTACACAGCCTGCGGAGTTGGCATCTGGTGCCTCGGCGTTGCTGGAAGCACGACGCGAACGAAATCGAAGAAAGCAAGCTTTCCAAAAGTGCAAGCTGAGGCGCTCTCAGCCATGCCAGAGACAGAATGCGCCCTTGCTCAGAAACTGCGGCCCTCAAGTCCAACCATCTTTGCAAATCCAGGCAGGGGCTACCTGACGAGAAGAGAAAGGCGCCAAAGCACAAGTAGCACACAGCTCAAGAAGGATGCCTCTCCTGACTGTGATTTTGATGGTATTTGCAACCGGCCTGCAAGCAGCCTCAAGCGCACGATCCAAATGGTGAAAGGCGCTGCCAAGGCAAGAAAACTGCCTGCATGGCTTTGCATGGACGGACGAAAACATTGGAAGCTGCTGTTCCTGTTGGTTTCTTGTTGTTGTCTACGCTCTTTTGCTTTGAAAATCTGCAAATTTCCAGGTGAGCCCCACATCGGAACGTTCGGAAACGCAAATCACCTTCAATCAAACTCGGAAGAGATGATGACAATGACACAAGAGCCCACAGTCAAAGCTTGTTGCACTATGTTGCATTCATCATAAAGGGGCAGCCTATCTGGTGGCTGCCCACCGACAAAATCCCCAGCCCATCATAATCGGGCCCCCGAATCTGGAAGAAGCCATGCTGAGAGCACATGGGCGCCCCTGTGTCCCAGTATGCCCGGTCAACTTGAGAAGATCATGCAGGGAAACCTGAAAGGCACGCGAAGATGCCACCACACACCACCGCGTTGGCGGAGTGATGGACAGTGTCATGACAAAACGCGCTGTGACAACGGCGGAAAACTGCAACCAAAAGGTGTCGCGACCTGGAAGAACATTAACCACTGTGCAACCGGAAATGATCGCGAGTAGTGTCAGGAGTCTCAAACCGGCTGGGCTTGAATGCTTAGCCAAACTTGAGCACTGTGAATAAGCTCTGCTGCGGCCGTGCAAGTGGTTTTTGGAGACTGAGCTGCTGGGAGGCCAGATTTTCGGCCCCCATGACTCCCCGATCGCAGAGTCTGGGACGCATCTAAAATTGGTGAGTTCACGAAAGACAGCAGATTTTTGAGGAAGATAGCCACACGGTACCCTCATCACGTAGTCTCGAGCCGTCGGAGGTCCCGATCACAGAGATCGGGCCTGCGCGACATCACGATCAAACACCTATCCCGGTGGAATCACAAAACACAGAGCAGAGCGATCACAGAAAAAGGCAGGAAAACTGAACCGCCTGAACCGTGTTGATGCATCTTGCAAAACTGGTTGTGTGCTCGACTCTCCATCCGGACTGTTCCGCGATCAAAAAGACTTCTCCTTCTGCACGTGAAGCAAAACCCTACCACATACATTCAATGCCTACAGTAACCTAACCGTGAGGCAGCCGGAAGGCTCGGGACCCCGCAGTTCAACAAGGGTAGAAACCCTCACGAAAAAATATAGAACTAGAAGCGACAGCGCAAACACCGCCCTGCTACCTCCGCTGCTAACCACAGCAGTAGCAATGGCAACCCTCTGAAACTGAAACCGAGACAAGTAGCAGGAAGCAAGGCTCAAGGCCCACAATCGGTGCTGTATCCCAGGTTAACTACTTCGGCATTTGGGCTTGGAGAACTCCCGGATTCTTTGAAAGCTTTCTTGCCTGCTGCCCTGGGTGCAGCAATCGGAACCATCAGATTAGCTCTTTAAGCTCTTGGAAGCAATACATTTGCCCGGCTTTGAGTTGCGCAACTGCAGCCAAAAACATTGGCTCCGCTTCCGGTTGCTTGTTGGAATGTGTTCAGGAAAGTGCAACACTAAGACTGACCCACGAGGCCAGTGTCTTCGGGCAAGGATTGTGATTCCCGGCCTGAAGGCTTGAAAGGGCCATCCTGGATTGCACGATTGCACATGAAACTCACAAGCAGCTTGGAATTTACAGCGCCAAGAAGCCCATCGATGGTCGACGAGCTGCAAGGGTCCCGAAGCTGGCAACACAGGGCCCGAGCCTGAGCTGGCCTGCCGCGGCTCGAAATGCCACACGAAATGCAAAGATTCTGCGCAGCGTGGCATTCGCAAGCAGCAGCGGGCCGCCCAAGAGGCGACTTCCCCAAAACAGCCTTGTCAAGGGGCTCTAGTGACCAGTGCTTACAGCATGCTGCGATCTGCCACTGTGCATAGCTGCGCGCAGTGCGTCGGAACCAAGGCAGCCAAGCCTAGCAACAGTCGCTAGGAGTACAACGGAATACAAGGGAGATCCAAGCCAAGCTGCGGACAGGCGCTCCACTCCATCTGCTTCCACACATGAAAGCGCATTCAGGCACTCTCCAGCTCTTGCGGAGGCAACTTCCGCGCAGCAAAACCAAGTCTTCGAATCTTTCCTGCCAGGTCGGCAGATGCCACACGTGCCCCAAAAAAAACTGCAGCAACATGTTCAAGTTAAAGCAGGGCAAGTGTCGAAGGACCCTGGCCCAGTCCCGTCCTGCTAAGCCAGGCCACTCGAGCTCCGCTGAAGCACGCGTGCACGGCATCCGGGATCCGTGCCAGCAGATCGCCCTGCAGCCCAGTAGGAGAGATTGAGCCAGAGCCGGAGACCATGCAAAGCAGACGGTGCAACCCGCCTCAGCTTTGATCAACCAAACCACGTTCAGAGAAGCCTCCAGCTTTGGCTGCAAAGTAGAAAACGTGGATGCAGTACGCCCCATGCGAACTGGATGCACGGACCCTGCGATTTGGAAAGGGCCGAGGCCGGACGGACTAAGGCCGGGGACGGCCGTGGGGATTGGAAGATGGAGCACAAATTCACAAGTTCTCACACCTTGCGCAGTGTGCCTCGCGCACGAGCAGAAGCAAATGGCTGGCATTTCCAGACGAGCGCTCCTGGACTGGAGGATCCAGCGGTTTCGTTGTCGTTTCGGCCTCCCAACCAAGGCAAAAGCATCCAGAATCGCCAGCAGCTGCCAATCCTGGAAGCAGATGGCGACGAAATGAACGCTGAACAAGCTCTGCCAATGCCTCAGACGCAGTAGTTACGGCAATCGAAGCTGTTCTTCCAGTGGAGACCTGAGAAGGAGGGATCCGATCCTCCTTACGTCGCGGCGTCTCTTGGACCCCTCCGTCTGAAGCGTGGCAGGAACAGATCGCACAAGCCCAGCCTTGTAGTAGCGGAGAGACGTGCCGCTGACAAAATACACGTCGCCGCCTGAGGGGATTTGAGGGGATTACCAGCTGCCTGTTGGGCTACTACTGCACCGGTCCGCTAGACAGGCTAGCTTATTCCTCACTCCCTGTGCCCCTGAATCCGTTGAGTGTCTCTAGCGGATGCGACAAAACTTTATTACCGGGCATGCTCATGGGAAAACGTCGCTGTAAGAGAACCTCATATCCGTGCGTATGTAGACACGCATGTATACACCTATACATGTCTGCTCTAGATCTCTGTGTGTATGTGGGAGCCATGTGGGGCCATTTACACATTCATGGGCACATATCTTGACTTTAAGGCTGTTTCACTTTTTCTGGACGAGACTTACCCGAATTCATGCTGCGCCGGTCCGAAAGTTCGTCGCACTCTGTGTGGCTCACGTACACCAAACCTGTCCAAGACCCTTTTCCCCCCTAGACTCTTCCACAACTCCTGGGCCCGGAACAATCATACTACTATAATCTCATTCCGGGATGATATTTCCTCCGCTAACCAAGCTATATAAATTATTCCTCTCTCCCTGTACTCCACGTACTCCGTTTCGACTCTCACTCTCGCACAAGCTCGACCGTTGCAGCACAAGCAAAAGGGGATTCAACAAGTGCAACAAGAAGCGAATCCGTCAAGCCTCAACCTCGAAGAAGATATTGCTCCATGGTGGTTGTTAGTGTGCATCTTCAACGAAGCATGCAACCCCAAAATAAAGTATGATGAAAGGACAATACTCAACACGTGCACACTGTCAACTTAGTCGCAAATTACCTCAGTAGGCAAGCTACCAGCGGTCTCCCCGAGTGACATATATCTCCCTTTGCTCCGTCACAACAAGAAGCGGGAAGCACGTATTATCTCCGTTTAGTGTCTCTAGCGGATGCGACGAAACTTTATTACCGGGTGTATGTTTGCTTGCTTCGGGGCTCCATGGATTTGCCCTGCGCATGGCCACTATGCATGTAGCAGCCATGCAGGTATCAATGAAGGTAAGTCCGCCAAGGTCGATTTCGACAAAAAGCTGCATCATCCGACAGAACGCGCACGCCACACGCACACACACACACACATCACTTAGGAAACCTACTCAGTGCACAGCTACTAGGCAGCCATGGTCGCAAACTTTAAAAGAAAACCTGGCGTGATACTATGCGACTCAGACGTGATGATCATGGCTACTATTACCGTTGGCGATCCCTGGCTGCTGAGCCCCGATTCGTGTCACCTGCACTCTGGCTGCAGCAGCGCGTGTGTCCTGCTGCGATCACGCACACGCACTCTCCCTCATTATCTTCAGTGTACCCTCCAGGCAGTGCATGTTCGGGAGATGCCAAGAAGCACGATTGTTGCATCGATTACGATTCTCCGAGGATTCGGCCAGCATATGGAAGCACCAGGTCAGCACCAGAGCTTGCACCGAGCTCGAGCAGTGCGGCAAGGTCCAACCATCCGATCTGCAGAGCTCATGTGCTGGTCCACGTAATGCTGCTCTCTAAGGCGTTAAGGAACCACAAATACCCTAGAAAGCCTCGGCTGTACTCCTCGAACCTGTGCCCACAAGCAAGTAGAGGGACCTCAGCAGCTGGCTCTCAGTATGTCATGCCCCAAACATGTCTGACCGAGGAAGCTTCCCTGCAATGGCGAAGCTTCGGGCAGATGCCACCTGCCAAGACACGGAAAACAACAGCTTACAGGCGTAACCTCCTGACAGCGGACTTCGGGATTCCCGGGTCCTGTCACTGTCGCAGCCCTTCCTGCCCCTATGTCTAGCACGCTCCACCCTTCCTTTGCAGAGCTCCCCCGCACAGCTTGCGCAGCAACCCAAGGGTTCTGCAAGCAGCCGCAGGGAACGGTGCGAGTGCGAAGTGCCCACAGCAAGATAGGGACAAAAGCTCATCAAAGCTGGGTGTTCAGCCAGCACACGAGTCTCGAGCAATTCAAGAAACCTAAAGTGAGGCACCCGTCTATCACCAAATCAAGGGGATTTATCAGTATCAGTTGGTCATCGTCCGTAGATGATAGCACCGGTAGAATTGCCTGGCCAGTTCCGAACAGTGCCCCGAACCGTTTGTGTTGCACATCCCTGGCTGCCCGCCAACTGCGGCTGGGTCGCCTCGAAGGAGCACCTTCCTGGAATGATGCAGGCTGGCCTCAGGCTCACGACGGAACATACGAGGCAATGCCGACCAGATTCGTCCCTCAACTTTAATGTAACATGCACCACAACTGGGAAAGTCACACCGGCTGGTCAGACCTGCACATGGATCCGATGCCATGAAGCTCGCTTTCACAACGTGCTTTGCAGGACGAGGTCGTATTGATTGGGAAGACGCTTTGCTCGATCCGCCCTTGCGCTTGTCCATGGTTTTTCTTTTACCCGTTTTCAGTTTTTTGAAGCCGTTTGCGCAAAGAAAGGCTCAGCTGATGCCCTGAAGACAAGACAGACTGCTGGCTGTAAGATAGGGGGAATCACCAACAAAAGTGCACACTTTGATGTCCAAACGAAACACCCCAATCGCATTGACGGCGGGATCGGTCATCGAAGGTGGCAGAATTGGGGAGAGGGGCGCGGATAGAAAAAAAACAAGATCAAAAAATGATATAACCGAATCCCTTGGTGCTCTTTCAGGCAACGGTGCCTGTACAGCGCAGGACGACGGATTAACTTTGTGTTCTCATGATGATGGTGATGATGGTGATGATGGTGATGATGATTCGAGACACCCAGGGCGACCCAAGCCGCAAACCACACCACACCACAGCGGATAGGGACTGAGAGCAGACCCAAACCCCGAACCACACCACACCACACGGGGGTGTGACTTCAAGCAGACGCAAACCACACAAGAGGGGGCGAAGGGGTACCAACCATTGGAAGGAGGAGGGGGGGCCCGGCCGAACTGGGATCGTAAAAATAGAAAAATATACAGGGTCAGGCGCTCCGCGGCTGCTCCCCCTCCCTTGGTCCATGGTCCAGGATGCCCCCCCCGCCCCCTGTGGGTGGGCTGTGGGGTCCCTCTTCCCCCTGTGCTGTAGTTGTTGGGCTTTGGGGTCTACACTCTCACAACTCGGACAAGCCAGGCGAGGATCGTTTTGGGGTTTGGGGTTTAGCTCACCGACTCATGGTTTTGAGTTTGGGGCTTCGAGTTGAAAGTGAAAAGTTTTAAGGCTTCGAGTCGACAAGAGCTTAGGGAGGGTTTGGGGTGTAAGTTGTTTAGGGTGACGGCTTATGTTCTGCTTCAAACTTAAAGCCTGCATAGGCGGGGAAGGTTAATAGAAACAGGAACACGCCCTCCCTTAAAGGGTTTATGGCTTGCCTAGGGCTTGCGTAAGATCCCGGCTTGACCCGACCCTCTCTGTGACGCCTGGCCGCACCCCACACCCAACCGCCCCGACCCCTCTCCGCACACGCCAGCCCCCCCCCATCCCTACCAGACCATAGCTGAAAGAGACGATTGACATCGACGTTGTCTACAGCCCAACCTGGACGAATCATTACCTTGAGAGCTCCAGTCATGCGAGTTTTGCCCCTTCATGGTTCAAGAAGCGTCGGTTATTGTTTGGCCCGTTACCTTGAGCAAGCGGTTCCGTGGAAGTGTGAAGGATGAAATGCAGCAGATGCCAGCGATGATGCTCAAGGTTGGCAATGCTGCCGCTGGCCTATGCAATGAGATCGCTGGAACCTGGAAGACCATCATCTTCCAGCCAGGGCCTACCACCTAAGGGAGGTCGTGAGGCTGAAAGAGTTGCGCATTGAGCACATCCCGGGTGAAACCGCAACTCCAGCAGCTACGAGGTTGTGGGGCTCAGCGGCTACCAGCTCCAAGATTCGAGGATGAGGCCAGCTCTGAGAAGGGATCCATGAAGATAAGGTGATTGGCAGGATTGCTGTGCTGGATGGTTCAGGAAGTTCAGGGTTCCAAGGATTCTAAAACAGAGCACGGCTCCGGTTTGGAAGAATGTTTTCCGTGGGAACTGGGTATCGTTGCATCGTAAAAGCAGGGTCTCTGAAGGCTTCAACAAGTGGTTCAGGAGGAGGTTGCGTACTATGGGTTGGATAGCCACGAGGAGCTAGACGTTTTGCCTGCGAGGGCAGCTTCAGCGAGGCCAACTTCGCATCCCTCTCTTATGAGGTCGAGGAGCGTGGAACTGCGACGAAAAGACGATCCAGTTGATGATGGTTACGGTATGTTTGGCCGGCCATTGGCGATGAGTGCATATGGAGACCGAGTACACCACAGTGCGGACTGTCACGGTGATGGAGGAATGCTCGAACGAGAAGACGCAATGTTCCTCCGCGTGGTCCGAAGAGCGTTGAGTGTTCCGCTTATGTATAGTGCCTGTCGCGCCGTGGTGTGTACACAGATGTCACCATGAACGATCGGCTGATTGTTCGTGGCTCAAGACATGAAGAAGCCGACAAAAGTGAGAGCGTTGCTCGTTGGTAGGTCGGGCCTGACACCCCTCTTGGGAGGTTCCGTTTGCGGGGTCCTAGGGGTTTGCAAAGCTTGTGTTTTTCGATTGGAGTTAGCAGTGAGAAGGGCTGACTTGTGCGAAGTTGGAAGACATTCTTCGGAGAAGGAGAATTTTGTATGCTACGGCCGCGCCCCGAATGTGCCCGACTTGACTACATACTTAACATTGATCATGGCAATCATAGTGGGGCAGGCAGCGGTGGGGGCGCAAGTCCGGAGGCTGGAGAGCCTCAAAGAACTGCAGGAATACGGAAGGAGTGAGGCTCTGATTGGAGGTTTTGCAGCAACTGAACATAATCCCTCGCAGTCTTGTCCGAGTCAGATACTCCGTTGCTGGGGATGTGTTAGCCAGGGAGCTACGAATCCAGCATCAAGGCCCAATCCAAGAGTCGTCGAAGATGCACGAAACCCTTTCTGCCTCTTCGGAAGAGCCCCTATTGCAAATTATAACAATTGAGCCGATACCCTTGCCCATCTTTCTTCGCCACAGCATGGTGTCCGGCTTCGCTCTCGGACGATTGGTCATTTAGGCGCTTTGTGAGAGGCGGCATCACGAGTCGAGCAGAGTTGTCACGATCACCCGATGCCCGATGCACGCAATTTATGCTATCTCCTCTAAAGCCAACCAAATGCACCCTTCCGTGGAAGCCGGCGAGATGTGTCCCGCTACAAGACTACCAGAACTTAGAAGACCGAGCCCATGCGCCTGAACTGACTGTCTGACGTACCATCCCGATCTACCAGAACCATTCCCAAAGTGCTCTTCCACCATAACTTGGACGCCGCATCATGTCTTACTCTTATCTTCCCTCACCTCCTAGACTCGCAAGAGCTTGTACAACACAGTTGTGCTGCAGTGTCAAGATGGCTGCACCTTGCCATCCACAATGTAATGTCACCAAAGCCGTCCAGGGAGAGGATGATCGGGCAACTGCCTGTGACGGACGTGATAGGCCGCATTTTGGATTTCCACGGTCAATGACGGCCTCCTGCACGGCTTGCCGGGATGAAAACAAGTCGCAGGATCTTTGTCAAGCATTTGGCGGATGCCGAGTGTTGAAACCTTGGTGGTAAGAAATGTATCCTCGCGCATGGCCAAAGAGACTCCGAAATCCGCATCCAACTCGCGACTCGCTACCACCCTAGGCACGCACATGGCAGCGCTTGGAGACCTTGCCGGCGACCTTTCTGTCAAATGGTACGATTTTTGCTTTCTGCATTTCGTCATGGCAAAACAGTTCGAATACTTCTTGCCTTGAGCGTGTCGTTGTACTCAAAGTTTCCTTCAACAGTAGGCAGTGCTACCCACTGCCTCCATGCATGTCGCCAAACGCCTTCAGGCCATCGATCGCCATCCAAATGCCCAGCCTAAAGCACCAGGCTGGACTGGGATTTTGGAGAATCACAAAATTGAAAACCAAGACCTGGGGTCTTCACGTACTTCCCGGTCCACTCCCAACACAGCCTGCAGCCACCAGCATGCCATCTGCACCCGCCTGCAGCAAAGCCAGAAGCAAAGTGTGTTCAGCAAGAGTCTGAAAGCTGCCTCGCCAGCTGGCGAGGCAAAGGCGTCACTGATCCCACCTTCGCCTCGCAGACTCAGACACAAATGCAGCCCGAGCCATGCAAAGCCTGAACCGCAAAGCGGCAGCTTCCGGCACCTCGGCCACTTCGCGGCGAAGCAAAGCTTTGGCCCCTCACAAAACTTCCGACCTGGACAGCGGCGACAAAACGATGATGCATAGATATCACGGGTCGGGCGCTCGTCATGTTATGCTGGTCGGTACGTCCATTCGTGCTGTTTCTCGCCGATTTCCATTGTGAATGGCTTCTCTGAGCACAGGCCCCTTGTCTATGCTGTTTTATGCGTCCCAGTGCGTGATTATCCGAGGACCGCGCTCTTGACCGCAGGGTGCTAGGCGGGCCTTTTGGCGACACCGAACCGGCGATGTCGAGCGTTTGCACCTCGCAGGTTGCTTGTGATCACGCACGCAGGACAGCCTGCGACATGCATGAACCCATGACAGACAAAGAATTATTTGAGGGCAAAGGAGCCAAGACCAGATTCAGCCGTCGTGCCTGCACCAAAGTTGGTTTTACAGGCGGGTTGGAGAAGCACTTAGTCGGCCTGCCCTTTGGATGCCACAGCGCCTCTGAAAGAATGCCAAAAATTCAGTTTTGTTCAACAAAAATGTGCTGCCGACCTTTGTAAAGTAGCATGTGGCCCGTGGAAGTGCCGACCAAAATCATCGAACGCTCCTGCATGCAGCACTTTCCAGACACTTGCAGAGACTAACCTGATAATAACTATAGTTAGCAATGTTAGCAGATCCTGTCATCGAAGGAATCCTCTACAGTGCCACAAAGCCGTGCTTGCCGAGCCTCGGGATACGTCATCACCATCGAAGCCGACATGCCCTTTGGCAAGTCAAAGGCCTGCCAGTTGAGAATTACACTCGCTACACGCAGCGCGCTGGCACCAGCCTTCGGACTGCTCCCAATGCCTCAAACAGCGCTGAAAACCCCTGTCGCATCTATGTAGCCAGCACTCTTTCCACACAGTTGCTGTCGGCCGCAGGAGGATAAATCTCTGCAAGTCCAAGCTTTGAGCCTGCCATCCCAAGCACAGGAGATGATAGCGGCGCTGCAATGCCAGGATCGTTCTTAGTTAGAGCCTGCCGCTACGACAGCCCATCCAAGCTCGTGCATGAAACACAGCGCCGATCCGGCCCCATGGTCGTCGCTCACCTGTCTTCGCACATGCAGTGACTTTCGCAACTTGGACCTCTGAGTTGCCGAGCCTCGGGGAACACTCCCAAGATGGACCTGCAGCCCGCGAAAGCTCTCTCAGTCCCTCAATCTGCACGATGCCGTCTTGCAACTCCGTTGAGCGTTCGGCTCAATGCCAAGATGCTGAACATTAACCATCAATAGCTGGCCAAACGACAGCAGGACCAGCAAGACCTCAGAAGCCTGGCAAAAGGCTTTCAAAGTGTGCGAAGGCTGAAAAGGCAGGGATATGCAGGGACTGCAGGCAGATACAACACTATATTAGCACGTTATCGTGGCTGCAGTTTCCAGTGTGCTCCTGACCCTCGAGAGTCTGCTTGCATTGAGCCATGACATATTGGAAAGGACCTGGGACAGTAAAACCAATGTTGATCAGCGCAGAAGAAGCCTATGGAATAAGATCATCTCATGTCCAAGCCGGTCGGGGCCTCAATTGATGCCAGTACCAGCGCCATAGGCCGAGGCGCAAGTGCGCGGCCAAAGCTCAAAGGAAGATCGGCCTGCAACTGGTTCAAGGCCGGAGGACGCCACAGGACTTTTCTGCCGGCCCCACGAGCCATCAAAGCAATGAGAAGGGTGCATCTTGTGATTCAGCCGAGCTCACTCTGCTGTGGCCCCGGTGCCACCAGGCCACAACGCTTTTACGTCAGCCATGGTTTACAGTGCGCCGGATTGAAACAAAAACGATTTTCTACCGCCTAGCCTGATGGAGCAACGCCTGGACCGATCGCACAAGGTTTGCGGAAAGGGGAAATGCCCTTCAACGCCGACAGCGCGAGCCAGCAGAACAACTTCAACAGCTTAGCAACGGAGCGAGGTCGACGCAGCGTAGAGTGCCGTGGTAATAACGACTTGGTTTGGGCGTTTAGGATCAGGGGGGCCCTTGGGGATATACATGCTCTCAATAAGGTCCCTTTCAAGAGAGAGCCACAAGTACGATTGAGAAGGGTCCCCTCTCTGATACTACCTAGGATGGTGTTCATTGCCACAAGTGTTGCCTATCGTGTTTGATTAAGTCTTCTCGTTGATGACGACGCTTTGGACGACGACTGCTACCAGGCTACCACCTCCGCCACCACCACCACTACCACCTCCTTCTCCTCCTTCTCTTTCCCTCTTGCTGCTGTGTCGCCTATACTAATGATACAACTCTTGGCCTTGAGGGTCGTAGACTTCCTTCTTCGCCGGGCCCCTGAAAACACCGCACCGCAGCTGTGCCTTCTTCTTCTTTGGTGGCGGAGGTGCTGCCAAGCCAGATATGTCCTTAACAAAAACAATTTTCCATCTCGTGCAGAAGCTTACTGTGCCTCGCGCGAAGCGGAGGAGGAGTGGGTGAGGAGGAGCAGGAGGAGGTGGAGGAGGGAGGAATGGAGGGAGGAATGGAGGAGGAGGCATGGCAAACGGTAGCAGCCGCCGCTCGCCGTACGTGCATCGCAGAGCCACTCCCCAGACATCATTGCCGTTCTCCGCACGGAAGGTTCGCGAGAAGGATTACTACATACATGTAGCCAGGCGTCACAAACCAAGAAGCACCATATGACACACCCTTTGGTTCAAGAAACCAGAGCAAGCCCAGACAGCAAAATCAACCAAGCCAAGTGCAAAGCCAACCGGCACCGTGGGTGCAGACCGAGGATTAACCTGCCGATCGTACAGCAGCAGTGGAACCTGAAGATAAGTTGGAAGCTGCCAAGGCTTTGGGGCACGGGACGGTTGGAACACAACAGGGCCGGCCGGGCCATACCGCACAAAGACGCGGCCCGCACAAGGAGGAGCAAGATATGCAGCCAAAGGGGGCCAAACGCCATGCCGAGAACAAGACAGGAACACAAGGGGAGAGGCCAACGGAGCACAAAGGCGCGCCGAAAGAGTAAACACGAGATCGGAAACTGGCAGTGTCGCGCCATGGAACAGAGCGCAGAAGGGGAAGGGTGTCGTCGGCGGCTGGGATGCCGCCCTCTGGCGTTGCCGTGGTTTCAGAATGCCACAACCAATAACATTTCCCTCTCTGCAACCTCCTTGTCTCTGCAACCTCCTCGTCTGGACCTGTGTCACACAAGCCTTGCGCATCCACAATGTGCTGAGGCAGGGTCGGTTCCATTGCTGTCCTGACAGTCAGCGGAATCTCATGGATTTCGCTCAGTTCCTTCCGAAAGACCATGGACTGATTTAAAAACCTACCTGCAAGCAGCGTGACCTGAACCCTCCCGTGACCTCCGGACTACAGAACCAAAGGAGCGCTGGATAGTTTCTTGCGGGATCATATAGGACGGACAAGTTGCCTGAGCTGAAAAATTTAGAAGTTCATGGCACGCGGTTTCCCAGAAGCGCATGTGATGCTACACGCGGTCTTTTCGTGCAGAGATGGGAAACTTCAGTGCTTCACTGCTTACGGAGCGAAGTGCCCGGCGGCTTGCGGAACAACGGTACCTGGGGAGACGACAGCGATTGCTGCCGTCCAAAACTCCCTCACACACTATATCGTGAGTAAAGATAAACCGGCACGTCACAACGTGGATTTTCGCACGCACACGCAGAGCTACATTCATTGACATTTGTGTAATTCAAGTACAATACAAATGGTAAACCCCCTATTGAGCCACATTCCCTTCCTTGGAATATGTACCCATGCATCGGGGTGTGGGACAGGAAACAAACCCATTCAACAGGCGCAAAACTTCATATGAAATGACTTTACAATTCCCCGTTGCATCAAACAGAGACAAGAATGTTTTCCATGCAAGGCTATTGATTGCAACCTAGTAAAACCCCGAAGCCACCACAACCAAAAATCGAAAGAACCAACAGGAAACCCTAGAGGTAATAGAAGCTAACCAAAGAACCGCAGCATAAAAAATTCTCGAATTCTGAGATCGCTGGGATTTAAGCTGCCGAGTAGCTTAGGTATCTGACTCTATTTCGTTAGTCCGATGGTGTAATGTTTCATGCTGTCTTCAATGGCGGAGTTAAAAATACTCGGACCCCAGGCACTTTCATGTGTATCTAAAATGACCACTGTAGGTGCAGAGTGCGAACGCTTCACTCGCTTACAATATTGGGCTCAAGACACAAAAGGGTGTTTCGCACATTGTGTGTCTTGTTACTCATGTATACCATGTAAACATTTATCACAAACAAAACACACAAGCCAATGCGCACCAACAACACAAACAACAGCACAACCCAAATTTTCAGCCCATGCCAGACATATCCATATCTCCCCACTATAAGGTCCATGTCTTCTGCAGGAGCACTTCCTCTAGCTGTGCTAGCGAGGCCTGTGAGTCCTGTCATGGTGGAAGGAGGGTTTGAGGGCGCTGGGGGCCTGATTAAGGTTCTGACCCAGAGCGTCAAACATGAAGTCGGAAAAAATCTCCGGAGCCTTCCCTTCAACTCTAAGGCTCTAAGGTGAATGGTACCATTGGTAAATTTAACTGCGACTGATCATTTCGTTTGGCTGGTCTGCAGATAGGAGTCCACCTTCTTCCGTCTTGACAACTTGTGGTGGAGGTCTTTTGGAAACTGCTTTCGCGGAGGGAGCATCTGGAGGGATAATCCCTGGCGGCTCTGTCGCTAGTGGCGCCATCGGCTGCGCCGTGGCGTCCATTGCATCCCCACCCGAGGACGCTGCTTCGGCCATGGTTCCAGTGCTTCACCGAAGAGATACAGCAACACAAACGAAGTCGTGGAAAACGCAGCAAACCCGATATGGAACGCAAAGCGAGGCACAACAAAGAAAAAACCACCCTCAGAAGAAACAGGGCAGCTACTTTGCACCTTGAGCCTCGAGGATCGGAGTAACAGGTGCCATATTTCAAGAAAATAATTTCGGCCAGGTTTGGGTCTGGAAGACTACTTTCAATTACAGCAGGATTTCGTAGGGGGAGAAGGGAGCACATACAAAAAAAAATCGGGGAGCTTCAAAACTTTGCCTGCTGTTCTAATAAAGAAGCAAGGCTGCTGTGCGAAGCAGGCCTTACCTTTCGGCGGAGGCAGAGTTGCCTTCCGGAGCCAAACTTTTCCAAAAGCTGAGGCTGAGGCCCTTCAGAAAGCTAGGCTTTCTTATTCACAGCCGTATTATTATAGCAAGTGTTCATTTCTTCCTTCCTACCCCTTACGGGGCCTGCCGGCCCGAACCAGTTTTTCGAAAAGGACCACGAAAACGACCGACCACAAAGAAGGTTATGCATTGCTGCAAAGATCTATGACGTCAAGCTTCCGGACATGATCTTCGCGGGTCCGCACATTGGCTGTGTGGGAGAATCTTGCAAAGTAGGCACGGGGATCAAGCGTAGTCTTGGTTCAGAACACACCGTTCGCGTTCGCAGTCACAACGTGGGAAGACACTGTGCAGATCGCTTCGCTTCGACTGTTGCACACCGCCTCAAGATGCGCTGATGCAGGCATCAGATCACAATCACGTAGCATGCTCCAGCCTCAGACACACATGTTACTCGCATGATACGTCCGCAATTGCTAACTGTTCTTCAGTGTCCTGTTGCCACGCTTGTCCACATAACTCGCGTCATGAGAAACTTCTGCAGGTCATTTCCGCGGGGATTAGCACAGGCATACTATATGATATGGAATAGAGCTACCACCCTCCCGGGATCAGCTGTATACTACGATACAGCGACTTGGCTGCACAGTACAGTCAAGCTTCAGCTACTAGGGTTGTGGGATTGTGGGTTCACAAGAATACTTCCCACAATCCCACCAAGATTACGTATGTGACTGTGTGATTTCCGTATTCCACATTCCACAATCCTACTTCGCGGGATTCTACAAGTAGTACTACGGAGCTGTGGAATGCATGTGGAATCGCGCCATGTCCAACAACTCATGCAACATGGCTGCGGAAATCATGTTTCGGGCAACTCGGACAAGCAGACAGAAAAAGACCCTGAAATACCATCTGATATCCTCTGTTAAGAGTCTTTCGTCCAGTTGGGATTAAGCCATTGAGAGCCGATCCATAAACCCGCAAAACGCGGAAGAAACCTCGTAAATAAAAATAAAACAAAACATTGTCCGCGCGGGATTTCAATAGCTTTTCACATGCCAAGAACGGGCTAGAACAGGCAGATGCAAGAGAAAGGTGAAGTGGAGTCAACACCGCAAGAACCGATATTTTCGATACTCTAGAAAATCATGTGAATTCATGCAGGCATGTGTATACCTATATGTTTATACAGAGAGAGAGAGAGAAATAGAAAGAGAGAGAGAGAGAGGAAGAGAGAGTTTGCTCACATGTGTAGGTAAAAACGTGTATTTTCTATATAGATAGATAGATATTCTTATTTATTTGCTTATACTCATTTATTTAACTATTTAAAGAATGACACATCATCTTAACCCTTTTAAGTAAGAGCGAAGGACACGCAGCCGATTTCCAACACAGAGACACGCCTAGAGACCCAAGCACAGCATCCCATGCCGACGAATCTTGCAACAAAGCCCATAACTAAACTCTGATGCTCGTCAGCTTTTGGCGAACATCCCAGTACCCTGCGCAACCTCAAAAACTTAACCTGTGAATCAAAAGACCCTGAATCCCACGTCAATTACACAAAATCTTAACACCGAGAACAAGCCCAGACCGTCGTCCAATCGCAGCTTCGAAGCATGCAAAGGCAAAGGAAAGAGCTGGAGGCACAACAGTTGGCCTGAACACTGTGAGACTTGAAAGTCGTCCGGGCCCCAGTGCCACGGGTTGAAATCACGCAAAGTACGTCAAGCATCCAACATTCCAACCCCGTTCCTTGCAAACCGGATCTGTAGTACTGTAGTATCTGCAGCAGTGTCCAACTCGAAAGTCCACGTCAGCAGGTCCTGCACAGTGTTTGGCCGAAGCCCATCATAAGATGCGATGTACAAGGTGTTCTGGAGGACCTTCAATCCAAAGACAAGGTTTGTGGTAACGGCAGCGACAGAGAGGCGAGCGACAAAGAACTCAAGGGCTTGGCCGTGGCTGTGTATATGGATCGGCGATCCTCGGAGGGGATGGCAGCATCTGCCTGAGCGAGGTCCATAAGCATAGCCAGGCCTCTGCACTTTCTGGAGCGCCTTCGCCCAGGCTGCCACATACTGTGGCCAACATGGGCGGGAAGTCTCTCCTTCCGGGGCCGAACACAATGTTTCGGCAGCCTTGCTTGTAGCGGTGTCCTCCTGCATCGGGCATGGAGTGCCCAGCTTCTGGGAGGTATCGACATCGGCGGCTGTGGATATTGCTTCACTTGTGAGCCGCTCTACAAGTCTGAGGACCTTAGACTGTAGACTCTTAAGCTAGGACCGGAGCCATGCATGTCCGGAAAGTCTCAGCTGGCAGACTGGCCTAACGTGTACCTTGTGTTGTTATTGCTACTGGTGTCTGCACGATGCATTGGCTGAGTGCCTGAACGGAGCTAGCTGCTAGCTGCCAGCCAAAACGAGAACAAAAGGCAAACAACACCTCTGTACTGGCAGCAAGGACATCGCATGAACTTGTTACAACATTTTCTCAATGCAGCTGACTTGCCAGCAACGGGTTGGGCCTCATGTGGGCCTCCTGCGGGTGATGCAAGAACTGGATGTTCTCGTCAATTTTTGTTGGCATGCCTGTGACAACGAGCTAACTTGCACACCCACTCATTCCACCTGACTCCACTCTGTACAGGATGCAACCAACGTAAAAAGATGGAGCATCGGCGTCGCTGCGTGCTAAACATGCTGAAAAAATGGAGGCAATTCCTCGGAGCACAACATAGCACCTCGACAGGTCATTAACGTTGTGGAGCCGCGCGAGTTTTACGCGACGGCATCATGCAATTGCGAGTCACAACTCCTCATCGAAATCGGTCTCTCTTTGAGGCTCCTTCAGTGCATCAGCAGTGCCTGCTGCTGTTGGTTGCAGGCACGATGCAGCACACTGGCGTGTCCTGAATGCCGACGTAGAGCCAGACTGAAAGGACCCCGCCAAGACGACCAAGGATTCTGCACTCGATCGTGTAAAAGACGTCCTGCAGCAGGGACCATGCCTGTAAAACTAGACCGCGCTTTGGATCTGTCCTCTTCGTCCGTGTCAATGATTTGCTTATACCTTCGCAGTGGGAGGATCGGAAATCAACTGACACTGCTGCGTGCTACCAGGAAATGTGAGAAAACTGGCCATTGCAACACAAAGGTGGCACCGGCCGTTCACTGCTGCGACAAAAACAAGAAAGGCATGAGGAGAAGCGAAACCTGCTGGCGTAAATGATACTAGCATCTACATACACCTGCATCTAACCTTTCCATAACGGCCGACGAGTTGCTCATTGATCTCCATGAGGTATTGTCGAATACTCTCTTGATCGGAGGTGCAAAAATGCACCGGAAGACCGCTGAATTTTTTCCCCCGCTTGATGGGGAAACTGTCCTGAAAACTCTGTCAAGGGAGGTACGGACAGAAGAGAAGCCAAGCAAGGAATACCAGCCCCGAAGTTGCCGGGATGGGAGGCCATGTAAGCTTCGCAGAATATGCCGAATATGCCACGACGGAAATGTCTGACCGTCACGGTGTGCCGTCAAACAAGCAGAAACAATCCCTGCAGTACGAACTTCAAAGCAACTACGGCAGCAGCACCAGTGCCACCGAACGCGGCCATCCTATTGCCATGAATCTAGAACCTGGACGTCGCGAAAACCTGAAAACCAGAACATGCCAAGATCCAAATAAACCAACAACATCCAACAACAAAATCAAGAACCCAGCATTGGATTTCAATTGTAGTCATTGCTGACGGGGGCGCGGGCATGCTGCAATAATACATACAGCACTGGGGGCGTCCCTGGACTCCTTCTACGTACAATCCATGCGGCCATGCGAGTTTCCTGTTGCTTTCACCATCCCCCGATACCGCCCAGCCATATTCGTTTCAGATTGCAGGCTCGAGCTCATGTGCTCAGAGCCGCAAGAAAACAGTTCAGGTGGAGCTGAATGCCAAGCTGACCGACGAGCTATAAACCCTAGGCCGGTGTGCACTCCTCCTTCTTCTGGAAATCGTGGCACAAGCGCTCAAGCGACTTCCACAAGCGATCCTGCTCTTTGGCATAATCCTGGTTACAGCAGGTCGTGTGACATCAATGCCTCCAGGTACGCACCGCGCACCTTGTAACCACTGTCGAAGAAAGGAGACCCGTGCCGATTCCAGACTCGAAGGTTTAGGATTCGACCTTTGTTTTGCCGACATCTGCGGGAAAACGTGTAGCTCCAAGTGATTGGACATCACAGGATCTGTATCGCAATAGCTGACTGGGGCCACGTGCCAACAAAGTTGAAGAACCTGAAGGAAGAAAAGTATAGCTTTCAGCGGTTGTGCACAGAAACACAGCACAAAGGCGATGCACTTCTGCTGGTCTGTCATCTGCTCCCGGGGGTAGTCGTTTGGAATCTCACGATATCCCTCGAGGACCCTGTGACACGACTCGACTGTCGGTTCAAGCGGTCAGCGCTGAGAAGCTTTCAGGCCTGGAAGCGGCAGGACTGTCAGGATCAATCTGTCTCCAAAGCTCCTGGATCTCCAAGAAGAGTCGCAGCTGGTGCATGAGCTCCTCCAGGTGGGATCTCTGCGAAGCTGCCAGGCGGACGACAAGATGCCCAGCCTCGTTATGGTCAAACATGGTGTCCATGCCTTTCTTGCCTCTATAGAGCTGCAAGTTCTGCATCATCTCCGTACCTTGGTAGACCACTAGCAAGGATCCACGAAGCCACAAACGACAAATGCAACTGGCGCTCGCAAATCATCCTGGAGTTCATCAATGATAGATGGCCGCAGCTCCGGCTGAACCGAAACATTCGGGCAAATCGGCTGGAAGTGGAGGCTCCTTAGTTACAGTAGTAGGCAGAGTCCAAAAAAGACTCCACTCCCGTCGACCTGCCGACATGCGCAAAGCTTTCTTTCAGGAGTCGCTTCGTCATCAGCACTGAGGAATGGTTCCCACGGAGGGCTTTCTGCGTCTGTATCATCGAAGTCCTGAGCTGCTTCGGCCCATGTCTAAACAAAAGCTCGAGCATGAAAGGCTTGCATCACGGACAGCAGTCGACCCAATGGACAGAAAATGAGCGAATGCCAAGCAAGCAAGCGAGGAAGCAAGCAAGCAACAGAGTAAGCAATCGTTGCACTTGGCTGCGCATGCTCCGCGGAGGTTTCCTGATTGCGCACACAGAATCTGGACCCGAGAGCAAAATGAAAGTTGTTGATGGCGATGGAGGTTACCCGTGCAACGAGAGGGCTGCTGTCGCTTGCTCATCCTTTCAAAGCACACAGCTCACAGTGCATCACGGCCGCAATTGGGGCGTTTGTTTGTGACTCCCATGTAGCAACGCAACTCCAACAAAACACAGGACTCACTGATCAAGCCCTCAAACTGCCAGCAGGACTCGTATGAAATGCAAGCTGGATGGTGGTTCTGACGATTTGCCCACGCATTCTTGTCATTGAACACAACCTGTCCCCACGAGCTGCAAGCCGCTTGGAAGAAGGCGGGTCAACTGCCGGCCTCTATGGAGTCGTACGGGAGCCACGTCACCAGGGTATCTTCCTCTCGGCATGGTTGATTCGCACGAAATCCTGGCAATCCTATATGAGCAGCAAACGTCCTGCAGCATCTTCCGTTTCGGAGCAATCAGGAGGCCCTGGCTGTCAACAGGAGAATCTCTACCAGCACGAAGAAACCGTGCGAACACAAGCAAAACACGCGAACACCGAAACTGCCTCACGCTGCTCGACGAGTTCTCGCTTTAGCCTTTCACGCCCCGGTTCCTCATCCTTCTTCTTGCCTTTATCTGAACGCATCTTGGGCTTGGGCCTCGTTCGGTTCTGTTGGTGCTGATGGAGCACAGTGTTCACAGCAGGTCAGTAGGCTCCCGGCATACGCCCCACAGTGGGCAGACTTTCCATGTCCTCCAAATGGACTCGGGAATCTTCTGCTTCCCCTGACAGCAGCGACACAACATGATGAGAGAGAGCAGTGAGATCCCGAACAGCACAGCCAAACGTCAAGCAGGAACGTCCTTCCCACTGCTGCTTCTCCAGATTTGTGTCTTCGTCCTGTTCTTCCTCCTCCTCGTCTTCCTCTTTGTCGTCTTCCTTGCAATGACACTGGGACCCACAGCCGAACAGATCGGCCAAACGACACCAACAGCCAAAATGTGCTCTAGTCAACTATCAAAAGGTGATATGCTGTAGGAGGCTTGGCTCCTTTCCCAAGGTGTGCTCTGTTTTTCTTCTCCTCGCTTTCTTTGGGTCGTAACGATTTGGCAGGTGATAGATCTGCCGGCTGCAAGGTTCCCAGAATGTTACCCAACCTTTATGGCGTGTCATCACCCAGGTGTGCTCGATGAGTTGGTCTGCCTTGTCAATAGTGGCAACAGGATCTTTCGAGTAGACAGTGCCCTTGACGACGTAGGCATCCTCTTTGCAGCCAAGCAGAAGCGAGCAAAGCAGGACTGAGTGGTCCTGCGGTGCTCCCTTGCGTCGCGCCAGGACATACTCGGGGTCCTTCCAGCCGTCAGTCGGAATAAGACCTGTGCGAGCTTGGCGCTGGGTAATCTCGAATGATAAGCAATGCACCCATTCAAGCATCTTTGCGGGAAAGCTCCATTCCTCCGGCACAATGATCGGCGAAACGAAAGCCATCAGCGGCGTTTCAACACGTGTCAGCGGATGGAGACCGATGCAGGGGAAACGTCGAAGTGAGTCGGCGGTTTGCATCATGCTCTCCTCTTTGGGCCTCTTGGCCCCAATTGAATCCGGGAAAGGCAAAGCATAGTCTTCAGCCTTTTGCCTGTTCCGGATGGTCCATTCCTCCTCTTTCTTGGCCCAGACAGATTCCGTATCAGCCTCGTGCACTTCATCTTCGAATCGAAGAGTTTCAGCCCAATCTGGGTAGAAGTAAGCCTCGAAATGTATGAGAGCAGCATCTTTGTTGGCCAAAGCTGATTGGCCCAAGGCTGTCTTGCTCCCATCATATACACGCACGGACCTCGGCTCTTCATACCACTGGTTGTGTCGTTCTTGCTTCTCTTCCAGCTCATTCTCCTCCTCGTCGTCGTCCTTCTTTTCTGATTTCAGAGGACCCAGAAGGGTGCGCTTCTGGGTCGCCCTGACGTTCAGAATATCACCCAGGGTAACCTGACATCCACCAAGGCAGTCCGCTGACGTCACGTCGTCATCCCACACCTGAATTTGCACGAAGCCCTTGCTGGTCAGTTCGTACTTGAGGATTGTATCTTGGTGCTTCTTCTCTGCCTGAAGCAGTCAAGGTGAAAGTCACTGGCTAAGAAACACCGGAACCGCACGCACCTTGGAGCCCATCCGCATCTCAGGAAACACCACCTCGCATTGCAACTTGTTGGCCTCTACCTTTACGATCCTTCGAATGCATCCATCCGACAAACTGTATGCAGCCCAGACGCCCTCACAGGGAAGTAAAAGCTTTGGTTGAAAACGGGGCGCAGCGATTGCTTGACGACTGGTGAAAGCATAACCATATTGTCCCAGGTGCAACGTAGATATGGATCCTTGACAAGGCTCGGGGCGTGGACCCTCCGATGATGGACTGAACTGAAAGTAACCTGCCAGCAACCTGGATGAGCCGAGCTTCTGAGCTGCTTGTGTCAAAGTCCGCCACGGGCAGTGCTTCACATTTCTTGATGCCTAGGCATGCTCACTTCAAAGCCCCTTCGTCATCGACCCAAAACACCAACCTCTAAGGTTGAAGCCATGGGCCCCTAACATGGGCCCGTAGGGGATTCTAGGCTCCCTTAAGGGTATATATAGGGTATATAGTAGGTATATTAGGGTCCCAGGGTCAAGGGCCCATGCTAGGGGCCCATGGGTTCTACCTTAGACAACCGATTCTGCGGGCAACAACGCTTATGCTGACTGGCGGCGCACCACTAAGTACCTTTCGTATCGGTTCAAGTGGGACACCTGGGCCATGCAAGGAGAACTGCACGACTGAGCATCCATCCGACATGCAGAAAAGACACAGTAGTGGCAGTTTTGAGTTGCTCCGGCCGGTTGGTGCGGAAGTCTAACTCGGGCTCCTGGACTGAACCAAACTGCGGTTGAAGCAGCAGAACTGGACGCAAAAGTCATGTACTCCTTCATGCCTTTGGAACGCAGTATACACTTGACATTGCCGTTGATATCACCGACAATGTAGCGATCATGATCTGCCGTGAACCTCTTGACCTTGCAGGGGTCTCACACTCAGGTCTTCCGCTACAGGTGCCATGAAAACTCGGCACCGACAGCATGTGCTTGAATTCTATCTTTGGCCTTCCCCTGGAATACGGACATGTCCAACACCTGCAGCTGAGTGACACAGGAGCCAGGGGGCAAGGGTTTTCTTGTATTTCTTCGTGGGTGACTTACTCTCTGGATATGCCGGCTATGTCACCGAAGTTAGGTTGAGTAGACATCGGCCGAGAACTCGGTGAGGTTGTGCAGGTGCATGTTTCTCCAATCTCTGTACAGTCCTGAGATACTGCAGGTGTCTGAATGATTTCATATGATTTCAATAGATGTCGGGACAGTAGGAACGCAGGCAAGCCATACTATGCTACTCAGCAACGCGTTGTCCGCGAGAAACGCCGGAGGCTTTCCAGTCAAAACCGAGACGATGAAGTAGGAGTTCTGCAGGTGAGTCCGTGTACCTCGGAAGACGAACTTCCCGCAGCTCGGCCAGAAGAAGCGACCATCCTGTTGGTTCCACTCCTTAGCGACCGCGAATCTGCAAGAATGCAAAACGCAGCCACCTTTTGCCGAAGTCTCCACAGTTTGCGATGCGGCACCCCTGCCAAGATATCGTCGCTGCCCAGGAAGTGTTCGTCTGTCCTGTCGACCCCCCACACCATAACGACATGTGGATACAACTCCATGCACCCCAAGCACCCCTCAATAGCTGTAATCCTGTGACAGGCTCCAAAGCACCACACAGCGTACTCGCTCCGAAACTGGTCTTCAGGTACTCAGACCTTGCCCTAAACCCCAGCAGCGGAATTCAAATGGCGCTCTGCCAAGCACCCGTCGACGTGGCCAATCGTGGTGCTCCAAAAGAAAGACAAAGAGTGTCTGCTGGTCTCGCTCTCACGAACAGTTGAACTGTTGTTTGCCAGGGCGGGTTTGAACCCTCGGGTTTCGTAACGTTGCTTTGGAGCGCGAGCGACACAACATGCGCCGATCACACCTGGCAGCCTGGCAGCACCGATGCCGGGTAGACGCAGCGGAAATTATGGAATCCTTGAGCAGAGCCATGCCGGGCCGATTTCTGTAGCAATGCTTCCACCAATTGCCAAGTATCCGACCTACAGGATCCATTCCAGTGGGGCTCGTTGGCGAATCCTGTGTTCGGCCTCTGTGATTCTATCGCAGGAGTCTTTGTAGGTTCCCGCTTCCCCACATCAGACAGAAATGCCTCATTTTGTTGGCACGCCCAAGAAGACTCTTTTGGCAAATCCCGAGAAATCCTGTGAAGCGACTGGGGCGACTTTTCACTTTGCACGAAGTTAATATGAATATATACACACACATACACATATATACATATTTATTTGTTTATTTGTGTATGTATTCACTTAGGCACACGATCTCACATGCTTGCAAGAAGCTGGCAAAAGTTTTGGAAAAGCTTCACGGCATCTGTGTGCAATGACCTTCTATACCTTACAGAAACACAAAAACAAGCTGTCCCGAGGCATGGTGAAAGTCAAGCGCTTACGCTCTTCTTTCATCTTCGTGTACTCCGGACTGGCTCGTCGAAGTTCCAACGTCCAGTTCTCGCCTGCAAAAGATCAGGCGATAAAAGGGCTCGCAAGTCCTACGAGCGCAGAGTTCCTCAGGATCGGACAGAACAAATCGAAGTCGAAGATTTCTTCGAGGTTTACGGTGCATCTGTACAGTGCCACGTCAGCCACTGACTTGGCTTTCTTTTTGTCGGCCATTTGCTTCCCTTAGTGTCAATGCACATTCTGGTTCAACATGGCCGAAGCAGACGTACATGAGTTGGCAAGGGACTTGGAACATGGCCGTCCGGCAGCAACAAAATTTACGGTCATGCTATTTGGCGCAGCGCTCCTACCCTCACTAGCTCAGGCTGACAGGGCTGGTGCCACCTTCAGCGGGGATAAACCAATGAAAAGCACCCCCGTACCATAGGCGTTCAGAGACTTGTAATGACGTGTACACAGACCCTTCTGCTTTCCCCCTGTCCGTCTGTGAAACCAACCTCAAAAGATTGGACTCAAAAAGAGCCACTACATCAAACTGGCATAGGCGGATGTGTTCAAGCTTGCATGCGTACCTCACCTATACCGTGCCCGGTAGATCTCTATGTAGAAACGTGCATGGTTCCGCAATCGAACGGACCCTACTGCATCTCCTGCTGGCCCTACCCCATCAGGTACCTGTTCTGATCGGCATGGAATCTTCGATACACAGACACCAATCTGAGTGACTGTAGTTCCCTAACGCCGTCACGTATCGCTGACGTCAGTTGCCTGCACCGTTGCAGCTTGATTCTTCGTTCGTATAGTTTCAGTTCTGAGGTTCCCAACATTTCGATTCTTGAAATTCCACAGCATGCAGACCTGCAATTGGCCACACGTTCATGCAAAGCGAAAGTTCTTTAAGAGAACGGGAGAGTTGCCCAGACGCCCCGAGATCTTGACAGGGCTGTGTTTGTCTCACGCGACCCCAAGGTGCTGCCTCCACACTTCTCGCTCTCAGTTCGCGCACCACCCGCACAAGGCGCCGGGTCTGCCAACAAACCCGCAAACTCTGAGCAAGATTTCTCGCAAGGCAGACTCTCGGGAAGCGTATGGTGTCACATTCGAAAATCATGTTGACCGCTTTCCCAACAGACTTATGGAATCGATACGACAGCAACCGTCCTTGCGTGCCCTGCCCTCTCAAGCGAAATCCGACAAACACCGCCCCAAACAGCTGCCACCCGAGACTCAGCAGAGGGCCCGCCAAAACCGACGAAAAAAAATGGAAACTCAAGAACGAAACAAAAAGACCCCTCTCGCATCCATCCTGCCCATGTACCTCTCGGATTCTCTTACCCCTGACTGTTTGGGGCTTGCAAGCCCGCCGGCCCCTTTCCGTCTACTGTCATTTCATCCATTTCGTCGGCCTCGCCAGCCATTCTGCTGGTTACATCGATTTTGGGATGGTTAGCCGTCAGGTTGCGTATGCGACCGCGCAGTTCTTGTTTCCGGCATTGGGCGACAAACTTTGGTTATGACCGCTACCTTACTGTCTATGACCCCGCGCACAGACAACATTCAATGGAAGATGGTTGGATAGCGCATTTCCTTGCCATCGTCAGTTCATCAAAAGCTTGCTTTCTTCTTTGGGTTCAATGTGGCATGCTGTAGCCCTGCAACTGTCAACAAGTGCTCGAGAAGGAGCAAGAATATGCAGACAATGCGCGAGATAGCTTTCTCAAGATACGTAGCTCCATGTTCGGATCGCGATTCGCAATGAGAGACAGCTTTTGCTTCTTCAGGCCAAAGTATTCGTTGAAAGTCCAGCAGGACACTCTCCACATGTCGACCTTGACCACATGCTTGTCCAACTCCTGGCCACATGTTCTCTCTCTGTGCAAGATATGCCCAACAGAGCAGCAATTCCATAAGTGAATGGCGGCAAACCTGCACATTCCACGCTAGAGTGTCCGCAGTCTGAGAATGCATACAACTGACCTTTTGAGAAACCAAGCCAGAAACAAGTGCAGTGGCCTTGGGCTGCACATTTTTGGACAGTTGCTCCTTGTAGGAAAGTCCGAACGTCTTCCTCTCGTACATCAATATTGGATTGTCTGCCGTGAAAACTTTGCCCTTCTCAAGCGTGAAGATGGACGAAAACTTCGTTTGCAAGCGCACCTCAGATGAATACCACTTCCCACCTGCCGAACGAAGCTCACAGCAACCATGTGCTGCGGTTCCTTGTACATTGTATGCTCCGGCACTACTCAGGCGGCCATTTAGACAAGCATCTCGATTGCGATGCTTCTTGGGATTTTCGCTTCCCAGCGACACAGTCCAGAAGAGCTTGAGGGTCTCAACTGTAACATTTTCAAAGCCCCTGATGGAGAAGGTTAGCTCCCACCATCGCATCCTGTCCATTGGCTCTCTTGTTTCCTCGGGATCCTCCTTCCAAAATGCTTGCTTCTGGCTCAAAAAACAGACTCCGTGTCGCAGCATGAAACTGGTCCTCGGCTTTGCCGAACTTGGGGAGGCGTAGCCTCATCTTCCTGATGCGGTGCGAACCGTGATCATGGGCTTTCACGTGCTGCCTGCGCACAGATACCAGCATTCTATGACGCAGCAAGCGTCCGATTTTGAGCGGCACCAGCTTTGGGGCCTGCAGCTGCATCACCTGCACAGCTACTGCAGCATCTCAGAACTGCGTGAAGCTGCCCGAATGTTCCTGCCCTGCCTTCCTCAACCTCTTCCATTCCCTGGACATCCTGTACTTGCTCGGCAGCCTCGCCTCGGCTCTGCCAACTTCTGTGTGAAACTGCAGTCGCAGATCACTTTTGTCTCCTGCATTGCTGAGACTTCAGTTGCATGTTCAACAGCTTCCTTTTCGAAGGCAGCCGTGACTTGACATCTTTCCAGCTGCAGGCGATGAGAGATGATGAGAGAACAAGCACCACGATGAGGCTAGGGAACCTATCAAATGTCCACTGCACCGGATCCTTACAAAAGTCGACTCGCGGCCGCTGACACATGTTCAATCGCAAAACCAGCGGATTCAACAGCAGCAACAACAGGAACGACGGCACATTCCCACGAGGCTCACAGACACTTTCGTTCCAGGGCTGCAAGGCCCGTACCACATCGACAGCGCCTTGCGGCGTTACGACCGGCATTCGCACAGCCGCTCGAGTAGCCTTCCATTATGAATGATCCATATGTGGCCACTGTTTCAGGACACGTGACAGATGCAAACAAACAGCAAGCAAAAATGAAAGAACAGGCGGAACACGATGTAGTTCAAGCAAGTGTGGACGTGCCGATTGCAACGATTTGAATTGCCACAGGTAGCGCCCGAGCGGCCATCGGCATCACCGCCAGCTTCTAAATCGCCATCAGAGTCTCTTGCCTGACAAGCGACATGGCTTCTTCATGGGCCATTCTAAAATTGGGACTGCATTTATTCCCAGCCTCATTGGGATCCTTCTTGGCTCTGCTGAACAGGCCCATGAGTTGTAACTCGCCCTACTGCTTTGCATAGATACTTCCATCCGGCAATGCCGTCAGCCACTGGTTGCTGTCTTCCATGGAATTTTTTACACAAGCATGTAGCCTCTTGTTTGGCGTCCACGATGACATACACTTAGAAGTAGCAGCGTTGAAATAGCGTTGAAGGTGAACAACAAACGGGTCTCATATTCCTTTGGAAGGCGTGCCTCATCCGGACGCACATGCTTGATCTCCCGTCTTGCAACCGCAGACGTTTTTGGGAGGCTGCAAAGCTAGGCATCCACCCGTCCCACAAGCGTTTCGAGGTTGCTGGTGTAGGGCTTGATGGAACATGACTGGGCTCACTGTTGCGCATTCTGGTCGAAAATACAAGCCGTCCCCGCAAACAAAGCGAGCGAACATGAGAAAGTCGTCTTTCACCGCAGCATCGTTGGCACTTCCAGGTGCAGTTGACATTCAATGCTGAGGCAAGACAGTGCGCAAATGCAATGATGTTCCACTGCAAAGCATGGATTTCAAAGGCGGTGCGCACTGCCGCCGAAAATTGCAGGCCGGAAAAGTATAAAATGATAAGAACAAGGCTACCGGAATACAGTGAAGAAACACACGTCTTTCCTCCACATTCACTTGTTAGGCAGCCCCAGCTTGAAGTCGTCGAGCGAGAGGGGCAGCGGTCCCGGCACATCGTAAACTTCTTTGTCGGGCCTGCTTGCAACAGGACACTAGATCCTCAGCAAGTTCAAACACGGAGGCTTCGCAGACTCTTTTTAGACTGTTGCTCTCACCATCTTTTACCGAGTTTGTCGCATGAACATGATGGCACGCTCGATCACTGTAGCGAAGGAATCCTCCGCCAGAACCCTGAGGGATCCCTGCACTTCTGAAAATCGAGGCTACGCAACACATGGACATTTCAGCCAGCCAACTTGGTAGATGTGGGGTGGGACTGGGCTGTCTAGATTTAGAAGGACCGTTCCGATGGAGGCGGTCCAAACAGCCTTTTGGAAAAAGATGTAAAATAAAGGCAAAAAAAGCTGGAACGAGGTGAAACAAAAAGGCAAAAAGAAAGTAAAAAAAGGTAGGAAAGACGTGAAGACCAGGCACAGGGAGCGGGGGCGCGTCCCTATCGATTTCCTGTACAAAGAGCGAAAAACTGTGGAAAAAAAACAGAAAAAATGTTTAGAAAAGGTAACAAAAAGGTCAACAAAAGGCAAAGCACTGGTAAAGGCCACGCAAAGGACAGGTGTGTGGGAAATCCCGGATCACCTGTCCTGCGCGTGACATTTGCCTTTTTCCCACCTTTTTTTTATGATGTTTCCACCTTTTTCTTTACCTTTTTTGCGCCGTTTTTGGCCTGTTGTACAGGAAACCGACCCCCGGTGGTGGGCGGGCGTGGGAGAGCGCAGGAAAATTCGAGTCACGTGCCCTGTGCCTGGTCTTCACCTTTTTCCAATCTTTTTTTACCTTTTTGTTGCACCTGGTTCCTGCGTTATTTCACCTTTTTGTAACATTTTCTCTACCTTTGCTTCACCTTACAACTTCACGTCTACTTAACCTGTTATTTATCTTTGTTTTACCTTTTCTTCAAGCTGACATCTGCCTCTGTCTCCATGGATCGGACCTTCTAAGTCTAGATGTGGGCTGACATGGGGGCACGAATAGGGGCTTGCCACATGTGCTGGCCTGAGTCTGGCCAGCATGGCCTCAGCTGCAAGCAGTAAAACACCGGCTGCCACTCACCTCCCCAACAAACCCGTGTGAGTCGTCTGAGGTTCTGGCGCCACAATCACGAAGCCCTGCAATGACGTATCCTTATACCAATCTACGCAAGCACGTAACAAAGGGAGTCGAAATGCCTCACAACTTTTACTGGCCGCAATATTTGACCGTTGCTGTGTCAGCTCCGACTGTACCACAAATAAACCAAAGGCCGAGGATCTCGTCTTGCCGCGGAACCAGGGAAGTAGTGGATTTCGAGTTCTTGCCTGGCTAAGTGCCAAGCAACATCTTTTCAATACTTCCAGCATCGCGAGCAACTATGACGGATCCGTCACGTGCCATGTGTCCGAATTGCCACAAGCCATCTGCATGGAGGCACCGCCTTTCCAAAGCATTAAACTCGGTGCATGTACTAGATATCCATGATATCCTAGCAAAATGGCTCCGTGAAAATCCAGGCAATTGCACATGCCCGCGCGAGCTACACTAGCAACCATCCTCGAGTACAGACCTGCCCAAACGAGGCCTGAACATGCAATTTTATAGGACTTGAAAATGCGTTTCGGTTCGCTGCGAGCTCGGCTCGGGGAAACGAGTTACAACGGTTCTCCAAAGGGGCCCGAATGGTTCGATGGCAGAGGTGAATAACGAGAATAAAAACGCAAACGATCGAGGTGCGACTCAACTTGCAAGCAGGACCAACCATGCTTGCCCCAGTCGTTACCACTGTGACTGCTCTGGAAGTGCGACAGACAATTATGGATCCTAAGGCTTTGCACACCGTGATTCCGCAACATCAAGCCTTTACCCAACTGTGCACGGCAAGGCCATCCACGCTTGATTCTGAACTTCAGCTTTGGAGTGGGGTTCAGGTGGTACGCTGTTAGGCGGCTCGATGTGACAACATGCGAAGAAGAAACGGCACGACTGACATGCTGATCGAGCCATCTTTGCCGGATCGCTTTCAGATTCTTTCAAGGCAGGGTGCCTTGAACATCTCAAAGGTTTTACCAGCGCCACTGTTCAGAGGATCCGTTGCAGCCACTGCACCTTGCACATTCATGGTCTTCCGCGGTCAGCTAACCACTTCTTCCATCAGTACTCATGTTACCAAGATTGAAAACTTTTTCCGCGGCCAGGTACACACTGCAGCAACATCGGCTCGAGCCACGTTTCCCACATAAGTGTCGCCCTGGTTGAACCTTATGCGATGACGCGTGTGCAGCTGGTAGGGCACCCAGTCGGTACTGCTGCCAAGGATACTCTGGCTTAGGACAGAACTGCAGCTCCAAGAAACCATCTGCTGGGTCTGTGGTCAACCCGCCGGGTCTTACCTTGAAAATGCAAGAACACAATGATTTCTGCGACATGTCTTGCAGAAGCCGATGCCCAAAACGAGCTCCGTGCAATCGTGTATGATGACCTGAAGACAAAATCAGACCCCAAACGGCAGAGGTCAGCCGGAGATGGCATGGCTTGCCTCTAGCTCTAAACCTGCTGAGCCGCGTGCTCACTTCCTTGTAACATCTCCTTGATCCGATTTTCTCCCTGATGACAGTCATCCAAAGGTGCATCCACAGTCAGCGCCGCCATTCTGGCCTCCAGCTTCTCGTTCAACACTCCGGACCCAATCCTCGACAGGATCTTGATCATTTATGTTGCTCCTTCCGGAAACTGAACATGCACTCATCTAGGCTCCGAGCGTGTTCAACAAAATGCCAACCGGAGCGTACGGTCTGGTTACCGATGCGCTGCTGACAACGATGAGGCGCTCGATTTTGTCTTGAAGAACCACCTGCACATGGAAGCATGCCTTCACACTACCAATACTAACCGATACAGTTTCGAAAAGCCACCTTCGCACAGTTGACCAAGCCCTCCTGAGCACGTCACAACGAAGAAGGAGAATACAAAGTTGCATCCGCCGTACTTACATGGCTTGAGAAACATATCGGTGCCCTGCGTTGTCCACGTCTTTCGGCTCTGTCTTGCCACGCGAATACGCAGCCTTGGTCATTCACCCAGTCCGCATTAATCAAGAGTGTGGCAGATAACTGAGAATCAAGCAGCAAAAACCACGGCTGACACGCCCGCCAAAGCTGCAACCAGAGAGGATGGAGTCGTGACATCTGCCTGGGACATGCATCGACGTCGTCATTCTTTGGCCGCGAAGAAAGCCGTAAATCGCTGCCAGCCTGGCGAACTTCGACGTCCTTGGTGCTGTCATCCTGTCAGGCAGCGTCGCTCTCAAGTCCCACGATCAAGCCATGCTCGCCATAAAGCGTCGGTCCATGGCATTCCAAGAACCGCTTCGGGTTACGGCCACAGGCTTGGCCAAACCATCTTTCAGCAAAGCCTGGCGACCCATCATTGGTTGTTGGGCATGGGTAGGGGCAACTCCACACCACATTGTTTCCGCACACGCATTTCGAAGGCCCCCTTGTCTCCGCCTCAACGACTAGTGAACCTGTTCGGCCATTGGCCCCGACGACGGCTACTGTCGGCCTGCCGGTGCTGCGACAAACAACATGCCTGAGGCAAAACAGCTCCAAGACCGTACCACACAATCGCCGCATAATCCAAGCCTCGAATCCTGACCGGCGCTGGAGCTCGCGTGTGTTGCCACACGTTTTGGCAACCATTTCTGCGGATTTCCTTGGCCGATCCAAGCACCTTGGAAGCAAGAATGTCGCCAAACGATGCCAATGTCTCACTGCTGCCGCAAAGAAAGCTTGCCCTTTGCAGACAAAGCTACGAGAGCCGACCAGTCCGACCACCAAGCCAAAGAGCACCTGTCAAACTGACACGGTCACAAACACAGCGCAACAAAACCTGATCTGCAAACCAGATGTTCATATCAGCCTTCAAATCAGCTAAAATCACTGACGATCTAATGCTACAAATTACAACAACCATAAGCAAACACGAGTAACAAATCTGCTATGAACCCCGGCCCACATTGAAAGTGCATGAGACACATACGCGAGGCAGCGTGCCCACAAGCACGATTTGCCTTAGCACCAGCGCATGACCGCATTCCCATGACGACACGTGAACTGATTCCTTGTTTTACATCATCAGCGCTTAATGGATGAAATATCACGTTGTTCCATGGACTATGCCGAATACCACCGCCATCATCTTGTTCTGCCCCCTTTGGGTTTCGAGCCGAACAGCCACACGAGCACGATAATAATCCGATAATAACCGTCTACCCCTGTAACACCATGCAAAACTGTGCGAATTACCCGTATAGGGGCCTGTAGTACTGCCAGCTCCCGCATCGGCACGCCGCCCTCGCGAAGGGATTCTTTTCTCACGCGGTGGGGCAGCAAATCACCCCGAGGCGTCCCCTTGCCGTCGTACTCTTCCGCTCCCGCCAACTCAAGCAAAATGCAAACCCAGGTTGCACCGCTGGGCGCAACCGCGTCGGCATGCTCACGAGCCGCTAGCCTTTTCTTCGAACTTCGCGTGGATTGATGCTGTCATATGTTCAGACTGTCAGAGGTGAGGGTGCGTGCGCTCTTTGGCTATGCGCGCAAATGCAAAGGCAGCTGTGCGGGTGGGTTCCAGCAAATGCTGAGGAGGACACCAGTGTAGTGTCGACTGCAGTCCGTTGACAATGACCTCGATGCGGCGCTCATTTTGCCGGGCGACATCAACGTTGAGATCACGAAGCACGACGTTGAGGGCAACGGTACCTCCGGCCTCCCGGCAGATGCGGGTGGCCCGCGCCTGGCACGAAGGACGCCTGACTGAGGACATGCTGCTGCCAGGTTCCCGAGCGGGCTATGCAGATGCCGGTAGCCACAGCGTGCACAAGTCAAGGGCCAGGGCAGGCGGAGCCGGCCCGGCGGAGGGCGAGCGGTACGTGGATGACACGGTGGCACAACTCATCAATTGTGTGTGAAGCTGGGCGCTGCCACCACGTGAAGTATCGGCGGGATCGTCTTCAGGCGACACAGAGACACCGCGGAGAGCAGAGCAGAGCAGAACAGAGCAGAGCAGAGCAGAGCAGAGCAGAGCAGAGCAGCCCACATGGGCGCCTGCAGGCCTGCTGTTTGCAGGGGCATGGCGGCATCCTTCAAACCAAGGGCGTGCGGCAAAGGCGAGGAGCCATCCAAAGAACGCACGTGGGCTTGAGCGAAGGCTCGGTCTCGACGCACGGGGGGGAGCGCATCGGCCCAACATTCCAGCAAGCCGCGACGGCATGGCGTTCGGCGCTGCGAAGTCCCACTCGCACGAGTTGGGCACATGTGGCAGTCAAAGCGGGCAGGCAGCAGTATCGGCATGCAGCAAAGCATCGAGGACAGCAGCGTTATGGGCGGCGGGGTATGCTCGTGTATCCTGAGGTGGCAGTCTTCGCAGCCGCGAGGGGCAAAATAGAAACAGGCAAAATAGAAACACCTGAGTGCTGGCAAAGAGCAAGCAGCGGTGAAGGAGAACCCTGCTTGGCGAGTAAGGTCTCGAGGCATGCAGCCATGCAGCAATGAACTCCCATATCGCCAAGGGCACGCCAACTGCCCCTCCAAGTGCTAAATGCGCGCTGGGCCGATTCCAAGGCCCGGCGGTTGCTGACCCAAACATCGTTCGCTATCGGGACTGAACGGGTCAACACGATCAAGGTAACGCCGGCACTTCCAAATGCAGGTCTTACCAGGGTTGCGTCTTTTTTGACTCGTTCCGCAATGAGCAAGGCGGCTCCTGCGCTACGGCAACCAGCTCCACGTGGGAGACCGGCAGCAGTCAGGCAGAGACGAGCGTGGTGACGAGTTTTGCGGGACAAGAGGGACCCTTATGGAAGGGGTCCCTAATCCAAATACCCCATATAACCCCGTATATACCCCTTACACAATCTGATGAATCCGTTAATATCCGTTATATAACTTTTTGTTTTTTTTCACACCTGTTTTCCGCCTGCAGGGCTCTGGCGTCACAAACTACTCCGCGCTACAGCTGCCGGCGACCCGGACTACACGTTGCACAGTAGCAGCCGGCTCGGCCCCGCGGCCTTTGCGGGGTCGAGGATCCGGTCGAGCTCCGGGCCTGGGCTTGGGCTCGAACAAGGTCGCGAACCAGCTGCTGTGCTCCAGCGTTCCACCGTCCCCCGACTTCGGACCCCAGAACGAGGAGCTTTTGCGGCCCTCCACCACTCAACTCGGGGTACGCTGTGTGCTTGCGCCGCTCAGCGACCTAAGGATCCCTCTTTTAGTCCCTCGAGAGCTGGGCGCATCCCCACAACGGAAGGCCATTGGCTATGATTTCAACGCGCCAGTCGACTTGTCTAACAGGGTCGGCATTCAAATCACGGACAAACACGTTGCGAGCAACGGCCGCTCCAGCTTCCCTGCCCAGACGAGCAGCACGGAGCGCGAGCAGGCGGCCAGGTGGTCGCCACAAGGATCGTGGCGTGCGCGGCATCGGCATCTGGCAGGGGCAAACGAAGCCGGCCCAAGCGCAATGTGAACTCCGGCAGGGTGGGCCGGGTGGTAAGCGTGCCGCATGAAGCCCAGCCTGCGATTCCAGCTCGGCATGCAACCGATGCGGCGTCATCAACGGCCAATGGCATGAAGCGAGTCACGTCTCGCGCCGATTGAAGGGCCTGCGGGCTGGCACGCAGATGAGCACCCTGAAAGGCGAAAGGTTTGCTTCAAGGAGGCGAACTCTCAAGCAGCTCCCAACACGCGGCAAACAACACACCTAATGCGCTACCTTAGACATACAACTCTCACCGGGACACTTGCTCTTCACTCAGCGGTCCGCACTTTGAACCCGCCGCCTGCGCGAAGTCAACATCGACTG